GCGGGGCACGGGGTTTGGGGGGGGTTGTGGGTGCTCCCCGGGGAGCCATGACCCACACTGATGTGAGCAGCTTCCCACATCACAGTCTGGACTGGGGTTATGGGGGACCTGCTGCTCCCCAGCTCCTGCTGACCTCCTTGGCCTGACCAAGAGGCACCAGAGGACAGGGGACCGCAGCCCCTTGCCCCCTCCCCACCCCAGCAGCCAGCACCCTGGCACCCTGGAGGGGTACGTGCTCCCATGGGATGTGCTGCTGGGTGCATGAGGAGCCGTGGCAGAGCTGACATTTCCCCCAAAGCGCTGGGGCACAGAGCCACCCCTCTGCAGCACCCCTGGGTGACACCCCAAAACATCCCCACCCCGCATGCCCATGTGCCCTCAGGGGACCCCGGCGTCGCGGTATGGCCGGCTGCTCACACCACCCCAAGCCTTTGCCCCATGGCTCCTCTCTGCCCCCCACCCCAGGACAACCTCAATCTCCTGCTGACGGAGGAAGAGATGTACAGCCTGATGGAGACCCTGCGGCACTGCAAGATCATTCCAGGTGCGGACCCTCCCCACGGCGGTTCCCGGACGGTGGCGGGGGGCGGATGGGTAGGTGGGTGCTCCCTCCCCGGGTGCCACATAGCTGATCTGTCCCCCGCAGAGACCTGCCTGACCCTGGATGACTTCCTGCACTACAAGCACCTGGTGCACAAGCAGCAGTTTGAGCGGCCCATGGACGAGGCGCAGGAGGAGCAGGCAGCCCTGCAGTTCTCTGCCCTGGACCCTGACAAGAAGGGGCACATCGAGTGGCACGACTTCCTCTCCCACGAGTCCATCCAACTGCTGCAGAAACTACGTCCACAGGTATGGCTTTGGCACAAGGGGCTGGCTGCCGGGTCCGGCAACCATGGCCACAGCACCCAGGGCCAGGTCCCATGGCCAGCATCCACAGCCAAAGCACCTGGAGCTGGCTTCCACGGCCAGCATGCATGGCTATGGCACCTGTGACCAGCTCCCATGTCCGGCACCCACAGGCACAGCACCCATGGCCAGCTGCAACCACCATCACTCAAACCCACGGCACCCAGGGCCAGCTCTCACAGTCAGCACCCATGGTCATGGCACCCAGGTCCAGCTCCATGGCTGGCACTCATGGCCGTGGCACCCAGGTCTGGCTGCCGCAGTTGTCACCCATATCCATGGCACCCGGAGCCAGCTCCCACAGCCAGCACCCATGGCCACCGCACCCAGGGCTAGCTCCCACGGTCATGGCACCCACAGACATGGCACCCAAGGCTACCTCCCATGACCAGCACCTACAGCTGCAGCACCCAGGGCTCCTACAGCGGGCACCCACAGCCGTGGCACCCAGGTCCAGGTCCCATGGCTGGCACTCATGGCCCTGGCACCAAGGACTGGCTGCTGCAGTCGTCACCCATATCCATGGCACCTGTGGCCAGCTCCCATGGCCAGCATCCATTGCCAGACCACCCAGGGCCAGCTCCCATGGCTGGCACGCCCGGCCCC